ACCATGCTGTTTCAATCATTACTCCTTTGTAGTAGAATTTGAGGTCTGTATGCCACAAAACAAGAGAATCTAGAAGAAATGGATAAATTCCTGGATTCCTGTAAACTCCCAAAACTGAGTCAAGAAGATATGGAATACTTGAATAGACCTATTAACATCAAGGAAATTGCAACTGTAATCAAAAATCTTCCCCAAAACAAAAGCCCAGATCCAGATGGATTCATTAGCGACTTTTTCCAAACATTTAAAGAGGACCTACTGCCAGTCCTTCTCAAGCTTTTCCAGGAAATTGAAAAAACAGAAACTCTCCCAAAGAGTTTCTATGAAGCCTATATCTCTCTAATATCAAAAGGAAACAAATTAGCAACCACAAAAAAAAAAAAAGAAAACTATAGGCCGATATCCCTGATGAACACGGATGTGAAGATTCTCAACAAAATACTAGCAAATAGAATTCAACAACTTATCAAAAAGATCATACATCATGACCAAGTGGGATTCATCCCAGGGATGCAAGGATGGTTCAACATTTGGAAATCAATCAACATAATCCATCATATCAACAAAAGAAAAGATAAAAACCATATGATCATATCAATAGATGCAGAGAAAGCATTTGACAAGATCCAGCACCCGTTCATGATGAAAACCCTAGCAAAAATGGGGATAGAAGGGACTTTCCTCAACATAATTAAAGCCATCTACCACAAGTCTACAGCAAGCATCATCCTCAATGGGGAAAAACTGAGAGCCTTCCCCCTAAGATCAGGGACGAGACAAGGATGCCCACTCTCTCCACTATTGTTCAATATAGTACTGGAAGTACTTGCAATAGCGATTAGGCAAGAAAAAGATATTAAGGGCATCTAGGTAGGAAAGGAAGAAATCAAGCTCTCACTATTCGCAGATGATATGATACTATACTTAGAGGGGCTGGAGCAATAGCACAGCGGTAGGGCGTTTGCCTTTCACGCAGCCAACATGGCCGACCCGAGTTCGATTCCTCCGCCCCTCTCGGAGAGCCCGGCAAGCTACCAAGAGTATCTCGCCAGCACGGCAGGACCTGGCAAGCTCCCCGTGACGTATTCGATATGTCAGACACAGTAACAACAAAGTCTCCAATGGAGACGTTACTGGGCCCGCTCGAGCAAATCGATGATCAACGGGAGGGCCTTTACTTACTTACTTACTTACTTATTTAGAGAACCCTAAAACCTCTACCAAGAAACTCCTAGAAATGATAGACTTGTATAGTAAAGTTGCAGGCTATAAAATCAATACCCAAAAGTCCATAGCTTTCCTATACATAAATAGTGAGAGAGAAGAAAGTGACATGAAAAAAACAATCCTATTCACAATTGTACACCAGAAAATCAACTACCTAGGAATTAGTTTAACTAAGCAAGTAAAGGACCTGTACAAAGAAAACTACAAAATGCTGCTTCTTGAAATAAAAGAGGATGCGAGGAAATGGAAAAATATCCCCTGCTCATGGATGGGGAGAATTAATATTGTCAAAATGGCAATACTTCCCAAAGCATTGTACAAATTCAATGCGATCCCTATTAGGATACCCATGACATTCTTTAAAGAAATGGAGCAAACATTCCTGAAATTTATATGGAACAATAAGACCCCTCGAATAGCTAAAGCAATTCTTGGGAAAAAAAGAAAATGGGAGGAGTTAACCTCCTGAATCTGCTCTAATTTTTATGATCTCTTTCCTTCTGCCCGATTTGGGCTCCTTCTGTTGATCCTTTTCTAAGATCTTGAGCTGTGAAGTCAAGTTGTTTATGGCATCCTTTCTTCCGTCCTGAGATATGCTTGCAGAGCTATAAATTTTCCCCTTAATACGGCTTTAGCTGCATCCCATTAATTCTGGTAGCTCGTTTCTTCATTCTCATTTGTTTCCAGGTACCTTTTGATTTTGTCCTTGACTTCCTTCCTGACCCACTCGTTGTTCAGCAGTGAGTTGTTTAGTTTCCAGGTGTTTGATTTGGTTCTCTGTGTCTGTGTGTGATTCACTTCTATCCTCAGTGCATAGTGGTCTGAAAAGATGGTTGATACTATTTCTATCTTCCTGATTCTATTGAAGTATGTTTTGTGGCCTAGCACATGGTCTATTTTGGAAAATGTTCTGTGTGCACTGGAGAAGAACGTGTATTCTTTCTTTTTGGGATGTAAAGCCCTGTATAGGTCTATAAGTCCTTTCTCTTCTACTTCTTCATTCAAACGAATGTTTCCTTGTTGAGTTTTGTTCTTGTTGATCTATCCAGAGGTGATAAGGATATGTTGAAGTCTCCAACTACTATTGTGTTGCTAGCAATGTCCTCCTTAAAATCTGTTAGCAGTTGTTTTAAGTGTCTAGCTGTTCCTTCATTCGGTGCTTATATATTTAAGAGTGTGATTTCTTCCTGTTATACATATCCTTTGATGAAGAGAAAATGGCCTTCGCTGTCCCTTCTAATCTTTTTCAGCCTGAAATTAATGTTGTCGGTTACTAGTATGGCCACCCCAGCTTTTTTGAGGGAGCTGTTTGCTTGCAGGATTGTTTTCCATCCTTTAACTTTGAGTCTGTGTTTGCTCTGGTTGTTCAGATGAGTTTCTTGTAGACAGCAGAATGTTGGTTTCAGTTTCTGGATCCATTTTGCCACTCTGTATCTCTTGGTAGTTGCATTTAGACCATTCACATTAAGAGAGATTATTGTCATGGGGTTTTGTGCCATCTTTCTGTAGGAGTTGGTTGTGTTTATAAGTGTTTTCCTTCTTATAGGAGCCCCTTTAGTCCTTCTTTTGGATTTGGTTTTGAGTCTATGAAGTTCCTGAGCTGTTGTTTATCCACAAAGTGGTGTATCGTTCCATTGAATTTGAGTGAGAGTTTAGCTGGATAGAGTATTCTTGGTGAGGCATTCATTTCATTGAATTTTTTCACTATATCCCACCATTGCCTTCGGGCTTGGAGGGTTTCCTCTGATAGGTCTGCTGTGAATCTAAGGGGTGCTCCTTTGTATGTAATTTCCTTCTTTGACCTTGCTGCTTGTAATATTGTGTCTCTGTCCACAACATCCATCTTTCTGACTATGATATGCCTTGGAGTGTTTTTTCTGGGGTCTCTTTTAGCTGGTACCCTTCTGGCTGCTTGGATCTGGATGTCTGCGTTCCTTAACTCTGGAAACTTTTCAGGAATGATTTCTTTGACTGTGGCTTTTTCATTGGGCTTGTCTCCCTGTCCTTCTGGTACTCCAATGATTCTAATGTTGTTCCTCTTGGCATCATCCCCTAAGTCTCTGATTCTCCTTAGAGCCATTTTGAGGTCTTTTCCTATTGCTTGTTGTTCCCTATGGGATTTCTGTTGCTCATCTTCAAGCTCGCTGATCCTCTCTTCAGCTGCACTTATCCTATTGCTAAGCGCACTTACTGACTTTTCAATTTCATCTACTGAATCCTTTATTTGTGACACTTCTTTTTGAAGCTTTTTTATTTCTGCTCTCATTTCTGCCTGTATTTTCTCGACTATCTGTTCTATTGTTTCTTTCATTTCTTCTTTTAGTTTTCTGGATATCTCTTCCATTGATTCTTTGAGTAGATATCTTGAACACCCTCTGCATTTCGTCCCAGAATTCTTTATCGAAGAGGGCATAATTGTGGACAACCTCAATTGAGGATTCGGGATTTTTTTTCTTCGTATTCTCCTTGTAGTGGAAATTTGCACTGTTTCTTCACGTTGTTTTGGTTGTCTAGAGGTAGAACCCTGAAATCATAGGTACTGTTCCCTCTTATCGTGGGAAAAGATTTTGGATAAGTAAGGTTGGTCGATGTTAGTCACCCTTCTCCCTTTCTAGAGTCCGACCTTCTTCTCAGTTAGGCATTATTCTCTGTTTTGTAACGGACATTGAGTGAAGCTTCGGAGGAGGTGCTTTTTTGTATTGAGCGTGTACAGCTTATTTCATACTGAACTTTTGTTAGAAATGGAGTAGGCGAGTGGAATGTTGTTGTATTATAGTAGAGGTGGTCAGAAAATTTTGGTCGGTATTAGGTGACAAAGTGTGGGACGAAAGTCCTGAGTGCTTGGATTGGGAAATATAACTGCAGCCGCATGAGCGGCTGCCCGCCCTGAAGAAGGCCATGCCCACTTCTGGGAGGCTGTGGCCCCCTACGTAGTGGCCACGCCCCTGGCCCATCCCAGGGTCACTCCCACCCAGGATCCTGGAATGGAGGAGGGCTGATGGGGAGTCCCGTGGAGCTGCGGCTGGTGTCCCCCGCTGGAGGGTGTCCGGTTCGGTTTGGTGGGAAAAGGCGCGGGGGGGAGGAGCAGCAGTCCCGGCTCCGGCTCCCCCTACCCACCTGGAAGGGAGGGGCCGATTAGGTGATGATGGACAGTCCCACGGAGCTGCGGCCGGTGTCCCCCGCTGGAGCTTCTGTTATTTATTTTTAAGTGAGTTGTCAATGATCCCAGTCAAGACAGCTTTAAAAGTTCTTTTTCGTGGGATTGTTGGGGGAGTTGGAAACATAACCAGTGGTGTTCAAGGTTCACTCACGTTAAGTGCTCATGGGACCACATACTCAAACTCAAAAAGGGTTGGCCCCATGCAAGGCAAGCACCTCAGCCCCTGTACTCTCTCTCTGGCTCAGTTTTGGGGTTCTTAGAGTTATCCCTAAGAAACGTTGGGGGGAGCCCAAAGCAGGCTGGGATAGTCCCTGAAATAAATCAGAACTATTCCTCTTTTTTCCTGTGTGCAAGTTAAACTAAAGCATGACTGGTACTGATTGCCTTCATTTCTTTGCAGTGTTTTTTTTTTACCTACTTGGGTGCTTTTCAGATTATGTTCTTTGGAGCCCTGAGGTTCTTGGGGCCAAGGGCACACACTTTCTGCATGCTTTTTTCGACGCTTGCTTCCCGGAGATCACCTCTGAGCATGGGCCTTCTAGGTCAGGTCCATTCAGGCAGAGGCCCGTGCTACTGGAAATGGTTAACTCCACTCCATCCTTTCTTGCATTAGGTCCTTCGGAAAAGTACCATCATTGGAGTGGTGGAGGGCGGAGATGTGATGGAGGAGAGGCTGCGGTCAGCCCGAGAGACAGCCAAGCGGCCCGTTGGGGGCTTCCTTCTGGATGGCTTTCAAGGGAATGCAGCGACCCTGGAGACCAGACTGCACTTGCTGTCATCAGTCACTGCTGAGTTGCCGGAGGACAAGCCAAGGCTAGTGTGCAGCTGGGCTGCGGGCCAGAAGAGCAGGCCGGGCCGTCATGGGAGCTTCTGCTGGACCGTGTCTCATTGTTTTGATTATGTCTTTCCCCACCCCCCATTTCAGACTATAGACCAGAGGACAATTTCCATGTAAATTTGTGTATTTGAGCCAGAGTGATTGTTAAGGGCAAGTATTCCACTGTTTCCTTCTGCTTTTAACAAAGGAAAAATATTTTCCTCTGTTCATTATAACTGGGGGCAAGTATAAAGTCCTGCGGAACTCTGCCTTAGTTGAGAACGCAGACCGGGTGCTTAGTGGAGTGGTGATTGACTCTACCTATAGGGACGTTTTTTTTTCCTTTTTTAAGGGGATTGGGGGGCGGGCAGGTGGGGAGTGTTAGTACTTTGGGCCACGGCGGTCTATACTCAAGTTTGTTCCTGGGGATCCAAGTGTGGGTCAGCTGGGTCAAGGCAAGCACCTCACCATGGTACTGTCGCTCTGCTCTTGATAAAGATTTTTGGTTTTTTGTTGTGTTTTGCTTTTGAGCCGCACCCTGCGGTGCTCAGGACTTATCCTGGCTCTGTACTCAGGAATTACTTCTGTCCAGGCTCACGGTACCATATGTGATGCCGGGGATCAAACCTAGGCCCATTTATTTCATGGCAATATCTCTAGCCCCCTAGTAAGGATTTTTGAACTCTTATATCTGAGGCAGTTGGTGCGTGGACTCAGTGTTTGAAATTGCAGGCAGCCTGCAGCCTGAGGTGGGGGTCTTTCCATAACTCCCAGGATTCGCTATTTAGAGATGATCTACAAAAGTCAAAGCTATAAAGCCCAAGTTTGTGAATGTGGCTGACATCTTATTAAACTACCCAAATTTAATTTTTTTCCCTTTTCTTTAAAAATTCCTATGATCTCTGTATCACTTCCTGTGAATACTCATACTTTTCCCAGCAGATATGTAAGATGCTTGCTTATAGGATGCTGTTTTATATTCCTTGAGGGCTATTGCATGGTAGGTGTAATTTTATAATATAAAAATACCCAGGTATAACTTGTAGTAAAGTATATCAATTTTATTAACAGCCCGATAAATTTTGACACCTGTATGTGCTTACGTGAAAACCATCCAGAGCGAGAGGCCCGAGAAGTAGTACAGCAAGTAAGGCTGCTTACCCAAGTTTGATCCCCAGAACCCTGGATGGTCACCTGAGCCCCATAGGAAATGACTCCCGAGCACCGCCAGATGTGACCCCAAGCCAAAAGAAACCAAAAATCCCAGGATGAAATACTTTTCTTCATCCAGCTAGCATTTGTCACAGAATTTTATCCTTTGTTGTCTCTTTGTTGGAACTGCATGTGTCCCCTGAGCAGAGAGAGAGCCGGGTTCCTGAGTCTCATGCATGGCTGACAGTCACTCGCTTCACACGAAAGGCGCACAGGTTTCTGTTTCTGGGTTTGAAAGCTGAGAATGTCTTCTGTGAGTACCAGCTACACACTTTGTCCTTTGTAAACACAGGTTCAGTTGGAGAGAGCTTCTAAAAGATGACTTTGCAAATTGGGGAGATACTATAGTAGGTAGGGCACTTGCACCGGTCCAACCTGGGTTCAATTCCCAATACTCCCGATGTTCTTCTGAGCATCACTAGGAGTTATCCCTGAGCACAAGCCAGGAGTCAACCCCGAGCACTGCTGGGAGTGGCCCCCAAACCAAAATGAAGAAGTAAAATAGAACGACTTTGCTTATTAGTTGAAGCAAACTAGTTAGAGAAACCAGCATCTGTGTAAGGGCTCAGTAAAGCCTTTGGATTCTTTTAGAAAACAGGGAGCCCATAAGCTTTTCTCTTAAAAGGGAACCCGGGTAGAGAAACAAGCATGAAAACAGCAGCAGCCAGCCGAGGTCTACTATATCTTCCTACCAAGTCACCCACTGGTGACACGCTCAGAATGCCTTACCCATTACTTTGGAAATTGCCGTTTCATTCCAGAGTGCAGACTTTAGTTCATGGAAGGAATATAAAACAGCCTGAAGGAGACAGGTTGGACTCTTAGACCTGATCACTAGAGTTGACCTTCTGAGAAGTGATGCTTTCTAAATAAGTCTATGAAGAGTACAGGAAATCTTTCTTGAACCAATTAAAGTGAAAAGGATGATAGGCTGAACATGTCCACTTAAGATGTGAAAAGTGTTCCAGAGGGAGCTATAGCATGCAGGTTTGCTTTCCTAGACAATCTGTCGGAGTTCACGGTAGGACTCGGGAGTTTGTCCAGCAAGGATAAGGCAAAGGGAAACCAGACTTTATTGGGCTTCTCTTTGGGGCCAACATCTAACACGCTGTGTCCAGATAGGTCTTTGATCTTTACAACAGTGCTGAAGAATGTCTTCTTTCTCTGGTTCCTAAAAGGAGAATGCTGAAATTGGAGAGGTTAGGAAATCTTCCCCATGCAACACAGCCGGCAGATAACGGGCAGAGGTAGGACGCAGGCTCGGCAGTGAATCTGCTCCTCTGTCCCTGAAGCCCGGTGGGAACCACACCTCATGCCTGGAGCATGGCCGTGATTGGTGGTTGTCCTTCTTGTTGGGTTTAATGTCCTCTGGAGAAGCTCCCAGTTTTCATTCCTGGCACCGTCCTCATGTCATTATTCTGCTTATTATTTTCACAGGCTCATCTGTGGTATCAGTCAGCCAGATGAAGTGCTGGAGTGTATTGAGAGAGGAGTGGACTTGTTTGAGAGTTTTTTCCCTTATCAAGTGACAGAGCGTGGATGTGCCCTCACTTTCAGCTTTCATTACCAGCCAAATCCTGAAGAGACATGTAGGTCTTTTTGAAGTTAATCTCTGTGTTATCCTTAAGTTTCTTCAATTTCCTATTAATTTTTGGCTTGAGTCATGAGTCAGAAATGTGTGCACATTATAAAGCCAGCCTTTTATGAAACTGCATCTTTGTTTCTTATCTGTACTCCCGGCATGCTGGCACACAAAGCCGGGGTACTGAGTACTATACATGTAGCTCATCAATATTAGGAAGGGCTTTTTCTAGTGAGTAGAACCAAGAAAAACAAAAACCTCTTCTATTAGCAACCTGAAAAAAAGAACATTGAAAATGAATGTGATGAAAATCTAAGAAATGAAAACCTTGGAACTGCTGGGTAAAAGTTAATTTGTTTTTGCACAAAAGAGTTTTTGTCTGCTTCTTTTGCAAACCCCAGGCTGTTAGAATACAGGGAGTCTCACCTCCTCTGATCCTAGTGTTACTTTGGCTTTCGTCAGGGTTTTTGTTTTTTTTTTTCCCCCAACACACTGAGATGTGAAAGCTGTTTTCCTCTGCTGCTATTGCTTTGAAGCGCTGCCATTTTCTTTTATTGTTTAGTTATTCAGAAGTCAAGAAAATCAGTTGCAGATTCTGACATTTAAAAGGCAGGAGAAGGGAACTGGGATACAGACTGGGGCTCCCTTGAAGTTTCTAATCCGTTCTGCAGAGTGTCGCCTGTTCAGTGTTCTTGGCCTTCCCACATGTGCTTGCTTTCCTCTGTTCCAGTTTTCCTCTGCACTCTTCCTCTCTCCATGCCAGCCTGAGATTTGAGGCGAGCCAGAGACTGCATTTTATCCCCCACCGGTGATTTTAAAGTTCACTCAGAACATAATTACACTTCTAGGAAAGCAACTTAGCCGTTCATCTAAACAGAATTTCTTCTGGAGACAAAAATTAATCAGGTGCATCAATTTCTTATAAATAGGGAGTCAGTTTTACTGTCCTTCAGATCGACCTAAAAAGACACGGCGTTTATGGAGTGGCATGCCATAAACGCTTTATAAATGCCTGTGGCTTCATTTCCTAGCTAAATTATTTCACTAGATTTCACTAGAGCGTAAGAAAGACATTTAGTACCATGAATATGCAAAACTTTAAGAAGAACCTGACACTGAGTTCCCTGGAGCAAACAAGTGCCCTCTGGCCAGAGAAAGTGAAGTTCACAATTAGGAAAACTAAAATTGTTTGAACATTTTCACTAAATCACTATGAGTTAATCTTACTTGTGTATGTATAGCAAGTTAAAGTCCTTTGCTGATTGCTTTGCAAAAATTGCAAAGGAGTAAGTTGCCTGGTGTATAGGCAGTTCTCCTTGTTAGTGATAAGGATTTTCTTGAAAACCTGAGACCCTTTGTGCAGTCGCCCACATCAGCATGCAAGGTCATGGCACCAAAATTCTAACACCTGTTATAATGAAATGCTCTGATCACTTCCTTTTCTTTCGACCTGGGCAGAATTAAACTGCCAATTTTCTTTGGGCCACCCTGAGGTTGGTATTAGTTTTTTCCCAGAAATACTTCTTATCTCTTGGCCCAGTTCAAAGTTGTTGGCTCTTCTGTGTTTCTGTAGTAGCCCCAGCGCTGCACTTTTTTTTTTTCTCTTTTTCTTTCTCTTTTTCTTTTTCTTTGTGTGTGTGTATGTGTGTGTGTGTAGCAGAACTCCTGGTGATACTCAGCAGCTGCTAGAACTGGAGAGATGTTACAGTAGGTAGGACACTTGCCTTGCACAGGGCCCAGTGAGCTGGGGGGATGCCAGGGATTCAACCCAGGTCGGCCCTGTGCAAGGCAAGTGTCCTGCCCGCTGTACCATCTCCAGCCCCAGCAGCTCTGTTCTTGTTTAACACAGCTGCTGGAACAACTTGAGTTCATGGGAACATTGTGTGTCCCCACTTAATTCTGTATAATCTGTGTTCCCTGGAGCACCAGTCTCCATATGGAATACATAAATCCAAACCACATTCTGCTTTAATCTATTTGGAACACAGGCAGTTATAAAGCCCAATTAATTTGCATATACATTATGATGAGACATAAGTCGCACACATTTATTCTCCCCCTTTCTCCTCCCTCCCCCTTTCTCTTTATTATACAAACAACTGTTCTTTAAAATCATTCCTGGGGCCAGAGTGATGATAATGTGGAGAGGGCACTTGCTTTGCACACAGCTGACCCCGTTTTGATCCCCCGCACTCCAAATGGTCTCCCAACTCCTCCAAGAGTGATCTCTGAACACAAGGAGCCAGGAGTAAGCCTTGAGCACTGCCAGGTGTGACCCAAAATTCAAAAAATAATAATACTAGAGAAATTTAAAAAAAATTTCTTTAGTTGTTGGATAATATTTGCTTGTACTCGTAATTTGCTAAGATGCTATTGAATCTGTAAGTGTTGATATTATAGATAATAGGTTGGTGTTCATCTTGATAAATGCTGTCATTTTTCCTTCCTTGTGTCATTTCCTCAGGATAAATTCTTAGGAATAGAATTATAGGGTCACAGGGCATGAAGTAGTAATAAACAAAATTCTGCTGATGACCAATGTTTCTCTGATCTTCATGACTTTTTTTTGGTTTGTTCCTTAGTATTACAACAAAATGGAACAGAGGAAGAGAAAAAATACATGGCTCAAACAAAGAAAACTGAAACAACTAATTGCAACCAAGAAATGACATCATTTGAAATTAATCTGAAGGAAAAAAAGTAAGAATTCATTTCAGTTTAGATTTTGATTTGTGACTCTTAAATTTCAGTCTTAAAAAAATGTTTATGTAACTGTTCTCTTTTTAGTTCATGATTTCATAAAATATTTATAGTCGGGTATTGTTTGAGGCTTTTATTAAGCTCAGAAAAAACTTTTTTTAGTGCCAATAAATTTATGTACTTTGTCTTGTCAGAAAACTAATGCTAGATAACAATTGTTTTAGAAAAGCTTTCTGAAAGATGACCAGATTTATTGTTTGTTGTTCTATATTCTTTCTAATTATTTTAAATAATGGCGGTGCAAAATAAGAATGTCAAGATAAAACACAGCAGGTGATTATTGTTTGAATTTGATGCAGGTGACAGGTTACACATGTGTGGTGCTTCGTATGGCCTAGCAGTTTTCAGACCCTTCACTGTATAATGACTCTTCATTCTTGCAGTAACACAGTAAAGTAGGAACTGCTGTTACTTTTTTCATCATTACAGATGAGACAATTAAGGCACAGGGAGGGTGGGTAAGTGACTTCCCCAAATGAGATGTAGAGCCAGGAATGAAACCCAGGCGTCCTAGCAGCAGACCCCTCTTGCGTAGCCCTTAGAGGTCTTCATCAATAAAAACACCTCTTTCCAAATGCTGTTGTAGAGTAAATGAGCCGGTCTGTGTAATGGAACTCTGGTTCTTGGGCGTCCTCCTGGCCCTGTGTTCAGGGATCACTCTTGGTGACGTTTAGGACACCATTTTTGGTGCCAGGTTGGCTCCAAAAGGCAAGGCAAGAGCCCTACACAATGTGCTACCTCTCCGGCCCACAGGTGAAAAAAAAAGTTTGTAACTGCAAGAAGCCATGCACGTTTCAGGGGGCATATTGTCCTCCAGGCTGGAGCAATAGCACAGCGGATAGGGTGTTTGCTCTGCATGCAGCCATCATGGCCGACCCGAGTTCGATTCCTCCGCCCCCTCGGAGAGCCCGGCAAGCTATCGAGAGTATTTTGCTGGCACGGCAAAGCCTGGGAAGCTACCCGTGACATATTCGGTATGCCAGACACAGTAACAAGTCTCACACTGTTACTGGGCCCGCTCGAGCAAATCTGTGAACAACGGGAGGACCGTGACCGTGATTGTCCTCCAGTGATAGTTTGGTGGTGGGTAGGAGAGACGTGTCAGTCACCAGAACACCTTTTGTAACATGATATGCCTTCATGATGTGACTGATGGTGCCCAACAAGTGGGGAGGGATTGGGGGACAGCTTCATGGCTTTTGTCAGAGAAAGCCACCTTAGTCCCTGGCCACTACCTCTTTTGGTTTTATTTTGAGGCCCTACCTAATCCTGCTTAGGGCTTCCTCCTGAAAGACTTTGGGGACTCTTGTGTGTTGGCAGGAATTAAACATGGGTTGCACGCAGGGCGGCAGTTGCCCTCCCTGCAGTCCTGTTGCTCTGGCTCCTGTCTGTTAAGGCAGTACTTTGTAAACAGGCACCTGGCACTGTGTTTAACCAATGAGGTCATTAGCTTGGTTTTCTGCGTCAGCCTAGATTGCCTGGATTGTAGATCCCGCAAGTCCTCACGTGCTAAAATGTTGCTGTAACTTCATTTCTCAGGTATCAGGAAGATTTCAACCCAGTGGTGAAAGGGTGTTCCTGTTACTGCTGTAAGAACCACACTCGTGCTTATATCCACCATCTGCTGGTGACCAATGAACTGTTGGCCGGGGTCCTGCTCATGATGCACAACTTTGAACACTACTTTGCCTTTTTCCACGCCATCAGGGAAGCACTAAAAAGTGACCGACTGGCCGAGCTGAAAGAACTCATCTGCAGGCAAGCTTCTTGAGATCTGGCAAACACAAGTGACTCGTCACATAAAGCCTGGACCAGAGGAAGAGACCTTAGGGAGCTTAGCTTAAATCATTTCTATTTGAGAGCAAGATCTGCTTCAATAAAGTCTGTACCAAAATGCCCACACGGTCCTGGTAGTACCCGGGCAACCAGGCCCAATGGGTCAATACCAGGACCTGGCAATACAGCACTGTGTGGGCCTTCTTCGACCACCAAGATCACCCGAACACTGATCAGAGGCTATACTCAGCAGCACTTGGGGACCTCCAGGGCAGCACCCCACTGGACTTGGAAGGCTGTGCGATGGAGGGGAGAGAACTGGGGTCCTGAGCATGCACAGCATGGGTCTCTAACCCCTGTTCTAATCCCTGTTCCCTTGGGGACTTAAATGACCAGGATAAGAATTAAGCCATCTCCTTGTAATATTCCTCTGCCAGTTCTTTTCATCTGCAGTGAATCACTGAGTCAAAGCAAAAGCTTTAGAAGTGAAGGCACAGCTTTCAAGTAGGGATAAGTTGAGATTCTCAGAGTTCACCGACTTGCATTGCAACTCACAGAGACTGCTCGGGAGGAGCTTGACCTCTGTGGACTAGTGCCTGTGGACAGGAAAAGGAATCCAACTCATTCTGGACTTTTCTGAATTGTAATCCTTTTATTCTCAGGGGCATCTTTTGTATACTAGTGTCTTCCAGAGTGCCACGGCAGGGTAGTCAGTCAGAAGTGGCTCGCGTGATTTAATCAGACTTAAATCTCATGGGTTATGGGACTCATCCATTGCTACTTTGACCCGTTGGTCCCCAGCACATTCCTTCGCTGAACTTTTGGTCTACTTGTTTGGACTTCCTAGACACAATGCAGTCTCCTGTTAGAAACCAGAACTCCCTAGCCGCCTTCACCTGATTGAACAGATCCACTGTGATCTGCCTTCCAGGCTCATTCATAGTCACAACACCACATAATAACCTGGTAGCACCACCACTTAGGGAGATTTATTCTCTGAGTATTTATTTGGAAGGAGCCCTGAGCTGGCGTTGAAAGGATCGAGTTTCAGTTTGTCTCATCTGTGATACCTGGGCACATCACTCAGCCTTGCTGTGCCTAGTTCCTTCTGGATAAATGGGAACAGGCAGTGAGTAGGACTAAATGCACTTCTAAAATTCCGTCTAACTCTGGCATTTGGGGAAGAGAAGGTTTTAGGAGACTTACAGCCTTACTTGTTTTTTGATTAAGCTCTACGGGCCTTATGGAAAAAATGCAGCAATGCCAGCAATAATCAATGCATAATAGAGATTATTTGAGCACCTAGGTGTGTGGATGTTAAAGTGGTTGGTGAATTGGCATCAGCAGATCCTTAGATGGGAAGACCTTTCTGATCATCTCTGATGCTGCAAATACTTTGATGCACTCAGTAAAGAAATGACATTTGTGTTGATAGTTATTTTCTCTCTTTTTCTATATTTGTCAGGCTTTTCTATAAGAATACTCTCTCATCCTTGGGCATACACACAGATGATGTAGAACAAAATAGCAACATAAAAAACAGTTGCTTTTATTTGTAGATGTGTGAAATATTCACTTTAAAATAAATAAAATTGATAAATTTTGCACTGTTCTGCTGTTGATTAGTGGGCATTACTGAACATGTTTTTAATTATATGCTTGTTATACTTTTATATTTCGGTGCCCATCTATATAGTTTTATTAGTGGCTGAGAAACAGTCTTGAAATTTGGAATTCTTTAACATTCTTATAAATTTCAATGAATGGCAAGGGATACATACAAAAGACAGAGTTTCTCTACTCCAGGATCTCATTGTTTTAGAATATATTGAACTTTTTTGTATGTTTATATTCTCACTGAAGTCCAAACCCTGTTGTTGGGTATATTGAAAATATTCCAGGATCCATATAAAATTTATGAGTTTTATTTATATTCAGAACACTAAAAATTCTGCCCAACATTGTCCATTTTCTGGGCCTTTTTCTTATTAGAACATTTTTTGTAGTTTATTTCTTTAATGTGATTCTATTAAGATCAATAGGCAATAAAGATTTTTTAATTTTAAAAATGTATACTGTCTCTCACTTCCTGCAAACAGTAGGAAGTTTGTTAAAATATTAAATTTCCATGGTACAAAAAATTGTTCTAGAAATTTCTCATTAAAAAACTACATTTCCATCTGCACTCTGCACATTTCCATCTGGACTCTGCATGCTAGATGCAGAATCCAAGAAGGTATAGTGTGGCATCTGACTCTAAGTAAAATTTAAAAACACAAACTATGGAGAGATTGTTTATTTTTAATTTATTTATTGGGGCACACACCTGGCTCTGCACTCGGAAATTACTGCTGGTGATGTTCAGTGGATTATATAGGATGCCAGGGATCAAACTCAAGCCAGCCAGAGACAAGACAATGGTTACCCACTGTACCATCTCTCAGGCCTCCTATTGAAAGCTTAGTAAGTGCCTCAAACTTTTCGTTGTCCTTGAAAGCATGGTTAGGGGTGTTGACACTCCTATGTTGAGAATTAAGTTTCAGAAAAATTGGCCTACCTAAGGGCCTTCCAGCAATTTCTGAAAGGTTACGGAGTTGCCTACGGCCCTACTAGTAGTCAGTCCCTTAGTCTTAAGCTCCATCTAATCAAACTCAATAGTTGGGGTTGGAAAGGTAGTGATAAGGGTTAAGGCATTTGCCTTAGAGGTGGCTGAAACCTCAGTTTGATCCCTGCTACCACAAATGGTGCCTGAGCGCCACCAGGCTTGATATTTGAACACAGAGCCAGGGAGTGAGGCCTGAGCACTGCTGGCAACCAAATAAACAAGCTCAACACTTAACCATTGCACTAAATACCTTTTTTTGTGACTTGTTCCTGAATTAAAGGGACTAGAGGCAAAGGCTGAAGAGAGGGGCCTCCTGTCCCTGTTGAATAGGTACTTTGGGAACTTTTTCAAAGCTCAGCTCCGACTCTGATTTATCCAGTACTTTAAGAGCTGGCATCTGCAGGTAATTATACAGGTGTCCAGTGTGAGTTGCCACCCCAAGCTACTGAAGTCTATTATAGTATGATCTATAATCACTGTGATCCAAAAATTTGGATCTGTGATCGGTTCAAGGGGTGTCAGGTAATCAATACCTAGTATTCTGAGGTTTCCTATACTGCTTGGGGAAAGGATATTTTATTTTCTGCACATAATGGGCAGAGTTGCTTCAGAAACATTGCTTAAAACAATTCTGTAATGAAAGCATTAAGAAAATGGAAAGATCATTAAAAGGTCAAGATTAGAGTGTATAAGCAGCTGTCTTATCCAGTCCTTTTTTTTTCAATTTTTTTTTTTTTTGAGACAGCTTGGAGCTCACTGAGAAACCACAGAGTTAAATGATTATCCTGTGACTTCCTGATTAAGAACAGGCTGCTCTCTGCAGTTTGATTAGTCTCGCTCGTAGCTACGGGATTACAGCTTATTAAAACTGACAGTGCTGTGTAGGGCAGGGAGCCAGGAAGGTCAAACTTCCATGCTGAGCCAGCCATCAGCAAAACTGCCCTTACCTGATGGGTTGGTGTGATTGGCATTAAAAATGTTCAAAACCTTTTTTTTTTCCTTCAAAGCTTTATATGACTTACTCATTTTACACATTTCTCTGCCCTTTTCTTCATGAGAGGACCACATAACCCATATAAAACAGTGGCCAGAGAAGAATGAAGCAAGTCCAATGTAACCAATAAGGGTAACCATTGTCCACAATTCTCGCATACGTGCGTGGTATTCGGGAGCAATGACTCAAAGGTGCCCTTGTTAGGACAAGTCATTGGTCACTCTGGTCAGTGGTAGGGGATGATCAAACAAGAATGCAGGTGCCCTTCCAAGTGGAATAGCTACTACCCAATATTGCTCATTGTAGATGTACTCAGCTCCTGGGAGAGAACAAGACAGAGTCTCCTACCCTATGCCTGACTGTCTCCACCAGGGCCCAACAGCTGAAGACCACCGAGGCCCAGCCAAGGCCATGCTGAGAGCACTCTCCACACACTTGGATGAGCCTCACGCATAAAAGAACTGACAGAGGAACCCAGGTGTGTGGGACCCGGGGCTGAGATCTCCAAGCCTGTACAGTTTGGGACTGGACCTGCCAGTAACTAGACAGTTACACCCACCAACTGCCGTGTAACTCCAACAATGGCCAGGATCCAGGGATCATCACACTCAGCTCCTGGGAGAGAACAAGACAGAGTCTCCTACCCTATGCCTGACTGTCTCCACCAGGGCCCAACAGCTGAAGACCACCGAGGCCCAGCCAAGGCCTTGCTGGGAGCACTCTCCACACACTTGGATGAGCCTCACGCATAAAAGAACTGACAGAGGAACCCAGGTGTGTGGGACCCGGGGCTGAGATCTCCAAGCCTGTACAGTTTGGGACTGGACCTGCCAGTAACTAGACAGTTACACCCACCAACTGCCGTGTAACTCCAACAACAGCCAGGATCCAGAGATCATCACACTCAGCTCCTGGAAGCTTATCATCTTATCATCTCATTCCTAATGCGGTCAAACTGGCAGGCTACCAAATGTAACATGCCCACACGGCAGAGTCTGGCAAACTCCCCGTGGTATACCCAATATGCCAAATACCAGTAACAATGATGGGTCTCATTCTCCTAACCCTGAAAAAGCCTTGAATATGGCACTTTAAAAAAAAAAAATCTCAGGGCTAGGACGAAGAAGACGTTACTGGCACCTGCTCGAGGCAATCGACGAACAACAGGGTGGTCGTGATCGTAGATGTACTGCTGTTCGATGTCCTCGAAACTTGAGTTTTCTGGGGATGTCTCACAATTTTAAAATACTGGGTCAATTAAAAACTCCTTGAGGCCAGAGAGATAGTAAAGGGGTTAAGAAACATGCCTTACATGTGGCTGACCTCAGTTCGCTCCTCCGCCCTTTGTCAGCCTGAGCAACACCAGTTGCAGGTCCAAAGAGCACCGCCCGGGTATGTAACCTGTTGAACACAGCGCCCAAGTCCTACTTCATCCTTAGACCCGAGCATTGACCACCAACCCAGTTGGCCAACTGGCCAGGAGTCTCTAGGAGGAACTGAACGCCCCCTCTCCCGCCCCCAACAAACAAACGAACTTCTAGGTAAGTAAAACCTTGCTGTACCTTGTTTGGAACCTTTGGTTTAGAATCAGGAGGGATAGGCTAGAGTTGTCATACACTGGGTCTAACTTGCTTTTCACTTGGCTCTCCTGGGCTTAAAGCCTCCCCTACATTCCCCACTGCCTAGAGACTAGGAATAAGCTGGATGTGTCCCCCACTGCCCATATCTACAGCCCAGATCCCTCAAATAGAATTTAAAGGAAAGGCTGCATTGCCAAAGACAGTGTTTTAATGGCAGTCTCCTGCCCCTGCGCCTAGCTGTTCCTCGCCGGGGTCCCTTGGAGGGGAGCGGGTTGAGCTTTCCTCCCCGCCCCGACCAGGGCTCCGGCAGCCGAAGACCTCCAGGACCAGACACCACCATGCTGAGACCACTCTCCGCACACCTGAAGGTACCGGCAGAGGGACAAAGTCACGCGGGTTCTGGGGCCGAGATCTCCAAGCCTACTCTGATTGGAGTCGAGCATCCTCCACCCAGATCCTCCAAATTCCAGTAGGCGGGGGTCACACCCACCACCTGGCCCCCTGGCGCCGTGAAATCCCATCAACGGCCAAGACTCAGAGACTATAAAAGCCAGCTCCCGGACATCTTATCAGGACATCTTTTTATGACATCTTATTATCTCATTCCTACTTTGGACAAACTTGCAGGCCATCGAATGTAGCCTGCCCACAGGGCAGAGTCTGGCAAACTCCCCGTGGCGTACCAAATATGCCAAATACCAGTAACAATGATGGGTCTCATTCTCCTAAAGAGCCGTGAATATAATCTCAGGGCTAGGATGAAAGAGACGTTACTGGGGCCTGCTCTAGGCACTCGACGAATAACAGGATGATGAATGAATGAATGAGTGTTTTAACATTTCTTGATTTCTGATTAAAAGAAAAAAGCCACCATAGTTTTAGCTCCTGCAGTTGGTTACAGACGGAGCATTCATGTTTTCCCCTGTCCCAAGTTCATGGCATGGTCCCCAGAGAACTTCCAGAAACACTGCCCAACGGAAGGGGCCGAGAACTGTTAGGCCTAGACAAGAAAGATGAGCAGAACTGTCTCTCCTCCTCAGGGCTTGAGAAACACAAGATGCTTCCCTTGCAGTTTCCAACATTGCTTCTCTGAGTCTCGTGTGTGGGGCCTGTGCCCTGCTAGGGTCAGCGGTGACTTCCCAGGACTCACTTTTTTTTTTCTTTTTGGGTCCCACCGAGCGACGCACAGAGGTTACTCCTGGCTCTACACTCAGGATTACCCTTGGCGGTGCTCAGGGGACCATATGGGATGCTGGGACTCGAACCTGGGTCGGCCGTGTGCAAGGCAAACACCCTCTCCACTGTACTATTGCTCCAGCCCCTAGGAGGACTCACTTTCTAATGGGCCTTTCTGACCTCGCAAACTAGTGGAGGATAAGAACAGAAACGCTCCTTTTGCCCTTCCCAGCAGTCCCAGCCGTAGTCCCGGCCAGCACAGTGCTCAGTCACCGGGTGTCAGGTGAAGGACTTCCTAAGTCACTGAGGCATTATCTTCTATTTCAGCTGCTGAGCGCTGGTCCAGAGGCGAGCCTCGCAGCAGTCGGACCCGGCTGAATGTCTTGTCAGCGGTGTTTCTGCCGTCCTTTGTGTTAGGCCAGCTCCCTGTGACCTGATGCTTTTCATTTTTTTGTTCCTTTGCTTGGGTCTGCTTTCGACCACGGTTGTCTTAGAGTGCTGGCCTCAAAGCAATTTCCTCTGCTCCGAGGAGGGGAACTCAGGGTGAACTTTTCTTTTGTTCTCCTGCTTCCCGATCCACTTTGAGGCCAGGCAGAAGTTGCCAGGGAGTTCAAAGGGCCCCCGCTCCTGGCACTGTGATCCGCGGGATTAGCAGGTCCGCTCTGCACACTTTCCCCCATGGGGGCCCCTTCCCCTCCGCTCTCCCCCGCTGTCTGCTCCTTTGTCTGTGAAACACATTTTCTCTTATTAT